TCCAATGTATGAATACTGGGTTTGGTGGGTATCCAATGTATGAATACTGGGTTTGGTGGGTATCCAATGTATGAATACTGGGTTTGGTGGGTGTCTGATGTATGAATACTGGGTTTGGTAGGTCTCCAATGTAAAAATACTGAGTTTGGTGGGTGTCTGATGTATGAATACTGGGTTTGGTGGGTCTCCAATGTAAGAATACTGGGTTTGGTGAATATCCATTGTATGAATACTGAGTTTGGTGGGTATTCAATGTATGGGTACTGGGTTTGGTGGGTATCCAATGTATGAATACTGAGTTTGGTGGGTATCCAATGTATGGATACTGGGTTTGGTGGGTATCCAATGTATGGATACTGAGTTTGGTGGGTATCCAATGTATGAATACTGGGTTTGGTGGGTATCCAATGTATGGATACTGAGTTTGGTGGGTATCCAATGTATGGATACTGGGTTTGGTGGGTCTCCAATGTATGAATACTGGGTTTAGTAGGTATCAAATGTATGGATACTGGTTTGGTGGGTCTCCAATGTATGAATACTGAGTTTGGTGGGTATCCAATGTATGGATACTGAGTTTGGTGGGTATCCAATGTATGGATACTGGAGTTTGGTGGGTATCCAATGTATGAATACTGGGTTTGGTAGGTCTCCAATGTATGGATACAGGGTTTAGTAGGTATCAAATATATGAATACTGAATTTGGTGGGTGTCTGATGTATGAATACTGGGTTTGGTGAATATCCAATGTATGAATACTGGGTTTGGTGAATATCCAATGTATGAATACTGGGTTTGGTGGGTATCCAATGTATGAATACTGGGTTTGGTGGGTATCTAATGTATGAATACTGGGTTTGGTGAATATCCAATGTATGGATACTGGGTTTGATGGGTATACAATGTATGGATACTGGGTTTGGTGGGTGTATGATGTATGATTACTGGGTTTGGTAGGTATCCAATGTATGAATACTGAGTTTGGTGGGTATCCAATGTATGGATACTGGGTTTGGTGGGTCTCCAATGTATGAATACTGAGTTTGGTGGGTATCCAATGTATAAATACTGGGTTTGGTGGGTATCCAATGTATGAATACTGGGTTTGGTGGGTA